TGCAGATTTTAGGCCCTTTTATGTACACTGAATTTTTATATAGGTTTAGCCGGACATGGGAAAGTTATAGAGATTTTTGTGCCTGGTGTTATGCCTGTGGGTCCTGTCACAACTATCAAGAAAGTGTTTTAGTTCAGGGTTAACATTGGAATTTATGGTTCTGTATATGTAGGTTGCACAGTAGTAAGTGTGGATGTTCTGTACAGTGAGTAAATTTAGATCTTTGAAGAGTGGGGGGGTGGGGGGTGTTGCCTGGGATTGGATTGCGTGATTATTCTTACTGCTGCTTTTTGTTGGGCTATTATTGGCTTTAGGTGTGTTGCTGATGTTGATCTCCAAGCACAAATAGCATAGGTGAGACAAGGATAGACGAGTAAATAGTATAGTGTGAGAATTATTATTATTATTATAATCAAGGGGGAAGCACTAAACCCATAGGATTATACAGTGCTTGGGGGAGGGATGGAAGGTATTCAGGTTTAACTCAGGGAACTGGAGCACAGATCCAGTTCCCTCACCAGCATCAAGGAACCTTCCTTGAGGGGTATAGTGTGAGAAGGGCTGATTGTGGCACGTAGTAACGTATCTTGGAGAGGATCCCAACCGTTTTGGATACTTTTTTTTGTGATGGATATGGGCGCTGAATTTCAGGTTGCTGTCGAGGTGTAGGCCCAGGCATTTACCCTCATTATGTTTGTCAGTGTTGTCGATCTTAATGTTCAGTTGTGCAGCACCTGCTCTGTTACCAAACATAATATAGAAGGTTTTGTCAGTGTTAATTGTAAGTTTATTGGCTGTCATCCAAGTAGATATTTTTAGTAGCTCCTCGTTAACAATGGTGTTGAGTGTGGCAAGATTTGGGTGGGAGATGACATAAGTCGTGTCGTCAGCAAAGAGAATTAATTGGTTTCATGTATTGTGATACTTTGGGAAGATCTTTGATGTATAAGAGGAAGAACAGGGGACCAAGGACACTTCCCTGTGGCACTCCAGTATCAAGTGGTCGTGTTGATGAAGTTGTGTCTTTAATGGTGACGTACTGATACCTATTAGTGAGGTAGGATTTGAAATATGCAAGTGCATGGCCTCTTATACCATAATGATCAGGTTTGTAGAGTAGGATGCCGTGGTCTTCTGTGTCAAAAGCTTTCCTTAGGTCAATAAAAAGCCCTAATGGATATTCCTTATTTTCCAGTGCTGTGTAAAGCAGATCAAACATTTTTACAATTGCATCGTTTGTACTTTTATTTTTCAAGTTCTTTCTGCATGTTATTATTTTAGTATAGTCTAGTTTAGCGTTTGAATTTATTATAATAATAATAATAGTTTTGTAGTAATCTTCGTCGCCTGGTGGCTAAAGCTCCCGCTTCACACACGGAGGGCCCGGGTTCGATTCCCGGCGGGTGGAAACATTCGACACGTTTCCTTACACCTGTTGTCCTGTTCACCTAGCAGCAAATAGGTACCTGGGTGTTAGTCGACTGGTGTGGGTCGCATCCTGGGGGACAAGATTAAGGACCCCAATGGAAATAAGTTAGACAGTCCTCGATGACGCACTGACTTTCTTGGGTTATCCTGGGTGGCTAACCCTCCGGGGTTAAAAATCCGAACGAAATCTTATCTTATCTTATCTTATCCAAGCTTCATGTCAGGAGCCTCTACCTGGCATTCACTATTTGTGTTTACCCTTTGAATAATAAGGTTAGTTAATTTTCTATGGTTTATTTTATTGTAACTGTTTTTTCAGTTGTTTTATGCACAGAATTATATGTGTATGGTAATTAAAAGTTAAGTGATGGTATTATTTGGTTGAACTTATCAAGTGCATAGCATTATATATTATTATTATTATAATCAAAAAGAAGCGCTAAGCCACAAGGTCGCATTATATAATAGTTAGTGATCTTAATTACATTAAATCACCGTTCTGAGACGAAACAGAAAACGGGCAAATTTTAGCCCAGACTTACGTAACTGATTTTGTTAGTTTAATTTTATTCCCTGTCGAGTCCCTTAAGATAAGATAAGATAAGATTTCGTTCGGATTTTTAACCCCGGAGGGTTAGCCACCCAGGATAACCCAAGAAAGTCAGTGCGTCATCGAGGACTGTCTAACTTATTTCCATTGGGGTCCTTAATCTTGTCCCCCAGGATGCGACCTACACCAGTCGACTAACACCCAGGTACCTATTTGCTGCTAGGTGAACAGGACAACAGGTGTAAGGAAACGTGTCGAAATGTTTCCACCCGCCGGGAATCGAACCCGGAACCTCCGTGTGTGAAGCGGGAGCTTTAGCCACCAGGCCACCGGGCCACCACTAAGGAGTGTACTTAGATGGTGTTGATGGGCTCTTAATCCAAGGAGTCAGGGCTCTCGCTTTCTTGAGTTGAACCTGAATACGTCTTGTTCCCAAACACTGTATAATGGCTCCGGCTACGGGTTTACCACTTCCCCATGAAAAATAATTTACTGCTGTCTAAGTTTTCATATAATTGGAAAGTTCGGCCGTTGCTCCAGGGAAAAGAAAACAAAGTAATGGAGAAGCAGAAACAGGTAAGACTTATATCCCTGAACACAATCATGAAAATAAGTCACACTCAGTTTGTCGAGTTATATTTTAAGTAAGCAAGGTACGAAATTTTTATTTAGATTTGCGTACATAACATACAAACATTTTTTTACAATAGAAATAAGTCACTTTGTCTTACGTTTTGGGTTATCCTGGGTAATTTGCACATGTCACTGTGTACCTGTACCTAAATAAACTTTATTTAAACACATGGACACACAAAAAGTACATTGGAAATGGAAATAAGTCACTCTGTCTGACTTTTTTGGGTTATCCTAGGTTCTCTACACATATGCTGCTATGTATGATAATTCTATGTAACTGTATTGTGTATACCTGAATAAATTTACTTACTTACTTACGTACATTTAACACAAGGTAAGTTTACCTGGAGTTTGCCTGGAGAGAGTTCCGGGGATCAACGCCCCCGCGGCCCGGTCTGTGACCAGGCCTCCTGGTGAATCAGAGCCTGATCAACCAGGCTGTTACTGCTGGCTGCACGCAAACCAACGTACCAGTCGGTTCCTGACCAGCCGGGCTGGTCAGGAACCGACTTTAGGTAATTCAATAATATTAAAAGAGTGTGACTTGTTTCCAGTGGGGGTCCTAAGGTACATCTTTATTGTTTATCAGTGATATGTCTACAACAGTCATGCGCCTATTGGAACCATTTCATAAACTTACATTTCTGTTTTTAAAAATCATGTGTAGATTTTCTGAAAGAAACATTTTAATGGTAGGTCCCCTCAAGACAGGTTTCTCGGTGCTAGTGAGAGGTTCTTGTTCTAAGGAATTAGGTCAGTGATCCCCTTCCCTGGCTTCGAGCCTGAAGGCTTCCCATTCCATGGAGCACTCGACCCACACACTGAGGACCGTGGTTCCATGGAGCACTCGGCCCACACACTGAGGACCGTGGTTCCATGGAGCACTCGGCCCACACACTGAGGACCGTGGTTCCATGGAGCACTCGGCCCACACACTGAGGACCGTGGTTCCATGGAGCACTCGGCCCACACACTGAGGACCGTGGTTCCATGGAGCACTCGGCCCACACACTGAGGACCGTGGTTCCATGGAGCACTCGGCCCACACACTGAGGACCGTGGTTCCATGGAGCACTCGGCCCACACACTGAGGACCGGGGTTCGATTCACGGTACTGGTGGAAACATTAGGACGTGTTTCCGTAAGGCACCTGCCGTCCTTGTTCAGTCTGGTTGATCAGGGCCTGATCTACCACTAGGCCTGGTCACGGACCAGGCCTCGAGGGCGTTGACTCCCGAAACCCTCTTCAGGTATACTCCAAGTGTACCTAGCAGTAAAATAGGTACCTGGGTGTTAGTGGACTCGTGTGGGTCGCATCTTGGGGACAAAATTTACCTAATTTGACCGGCTTTCTATATAGTAGTATGTCATTGATATCAGCTAGGCCTGTAAACCTTGTACGTGTACTTGTAGAAATAAAGATTATCATAAGTACAATTATCATACAGGCACCTAAAGTCAGTACCTGACCAACCGGGCTGTGGTTCGTACGTCAGCTTGCGTGCGGCCAGCAGTAACAGCCTGGTTGATCAGACCCTGATCCACCATGAGACCTGGTCTCAGACCGGGTCGTGGGGGCGTTGACCCCCGAAACCCTCTCCAGGTAAACCTAGGATATCCCTCTCCAAAATCAGAATGACTTATTTCCATTGGGGTCACTGTATATCTATTGAGGTCCCTGCATATCTATCGAGGTCCCTGTATAACCCCTATGGATTTATGCTCTCCATGAATATATTAAACCTTAATGATAGGTACAGATGCTAATGAATCTTTTTGAAAGCAGAGGATATACACACTGAGATGTATATATATCTCTGTATATGCCGAGACTTAACTTAAATTCCTGTTAAAATAAAACTTGTTCGGATTTTTACCCTGGAGGGGTTAGTCACCCTGGATAACCCGAGAGTCAATGCGTCATCCAGGACTGTCTGTCTTATTTACAAAATATATGTATTGTCTTATTTCCATCGTGGTCCTTCAGTCTTGCTTCCCAGGATGCGACCCATAACAGTCGACTAATACCCAGGTACCTACTTACTGCTAGGTGAACAAGGACAGTAGTTGTAAGGAAACATGCCCAGTGTTTTCACCCTTACCGCAGATTGAACTTCAGACACTCGGAATGTGAGGCGAGTGCGTTGCCAACCTAGACACGGGACGCCACTTTAATTACCCAAACCCGGGATCGAACCGGGGATTAAAGTATTCTTGATAAATTAGACACATGGTTGTGCGTAATCTTTTCACATGTGAAAAGATTACGAACCTTAAAGATCCTCATCTAGCCGATAGGCTTGAAACCCCATTAACCAACCTGCACATCAAATAATTATATGCATCAAAATATTAAAATTATTTGTCATCTCTTTTTTGGGGACAGCCGACATGTGGTCCACCAGCGTAACCTGGACTTGGACACCGAGCTGTTGCATGGGCATGGGCGTGGGCGTGGGCGTGGTCTGGAGAAGGCTCGGGTCATCAGGGAGGGCGTGTTGAGGTGGACTTTTCCCGCTCGCACGCCCACACGCCCACCTGCCTCCAGTCGTAACTGGCATCCCCAACACTCCTGGTCAACACAGTTTCAGAATGTACCTGATTATGTGAGTGTTTCTGTTACCACTTTCACGCTTCAGTACCATTTTCATGATTCAGGAATACCACTTATCACGCTTCAGACCTGTTCCAACAAATACCACCTTCACATCTTTGAAATACCACTTAATACGTTTAGAACGTGTAACAGCTAATACCACTTCCGCACCTTTTACTTGTTTCCAGAGCTTTCTGGGGTTGTTCTGGCAATCTTCGATTTCTAAGCAATAGTGACTTACCTTTGTTCCTTTTATAAGCCTCTGCACTCTATCCTTACTCTTTTAAATTCATTGAGTACTGCAACATCCTTCCTGTTTCCCCTAAATCTTTTTAGTAAAAGATTCCTGAATATCTCAGCAGCCATCCAGGGTTCAGTTCTCCGTTTACTCCTAACCTCTTTAACTGGTGCAATATTATCAAGGATGGTAGTGAACATTGTTTTAAATGTTTCCCAGGCATCATTTACCTCCGTACAACTTGTTATCACTGTCCACTCACAATAGTGTAGCCTGTTTACCAGTGTTTCTTTACTGTTGCTTCTAGTTGACCTCATTTTTATTGTCCTATGTAGACCTATTCGTTCCCTAATGATTTTGATGCAGTAAGTGATGAAATGATCACTAAGACCTGTGGTAATGACGCCTGACTGACTAATGTTATCAGAACAGTTACAAAATATGTGGTCGAGTATAGTGGATGAGAACTGTGTGATCCATGTTGGTGCATTGATTAGTAGAGTGTAACTATTTAATCATAGAAGCTACTTATACCTGTTACAAGCCCGTTATTTTGCTGTTGATAACATATATTGAAGTCTCCCAGTACGTATTATTGTCTCACAATTGTGCACAGTTCTGGACAAGACTCTCGAAAGGTTTTCTAAGAACTGATTATCTGGGGCGGTAACTAGTTCCTACTAGGATGGGTTTGGTCTTGGGCAGCAACACCTCAAACCATATAATCTCCAGTTTATTGTCATATAAATTGGGTCTTGGGTTGTAAGCTCAGTCATTTCTTACATAGCACATACTCCTCCACCTTGTCTATTTCTATCCAAGCGTTTTATATTGTAACTTTCTATTTTAACTTCGCCATCTGTCACTGTGTCATCTAATCATGATCCCAAGATGGGTATAATTGCCGTCTTAGTCTTGGTTGCTAGAATCCTAATCTCTGATATTTTGGGTAAAAGTGACCTAGCATTGATATGAATGAAGTGACGACCTACTTTCTTGAACCAGTCATAATCATCAATATATGGCAAGGGTTTAAAGTATTCTTGACTGGTGGTGAACAGGGACATGAGGCCTTTATGACTGTCGTGTAATCGATAAGCCCTAAACATTAAAGAAGCAACTTTCTTCGTTAGAGTGTGCCTGAGATGGAGGGGGTGGTGTCAGAGGAACTACGTCAGCGTATACAACGTGTTCTCACCTTCCCCATGGGGCGTACCCAGGGCGAGGAGTCTACTACGGATACCACGCCCACCACTGCCCACGACAACAGGTCAGATGCCCCTGCTTGTTTAATAATAATAATAATATTATTATTATTATTATTATTAAAGATTATCGTTTGTTAGTAAATTGATCCAACAGGTTGTAGTGTTACACTTGTGATATTCAGATATGTAAACTTAATTTTACTTTCATTTTTCATTCCATTCCCTTAACTATATTCTCTATGCATCATTTATATATTTTATATTCATTAGTTATATGTGTAGTATATTATATTATCTTGTATGTATTATTGTACGCAGTATTATTCACTTTACCTAATGTAACATGTATTATTGATCTCAGCTGGAAAAACGATAGTAATGTTTTATATTTCGTTATATATTTATTAAGACGCATTTATATAAGGTACATGACAGGATGCTAGATACACATAATCTTTTAATATTTATGAAAAATTTTGCTTAATTCTAATGGCCGGCAGTATTGTGGGGTACATGTACACACTACGCTTGCTCACCTCTGTTCCCACATTCATGTTAATTAGTTAGAACCATAGGAGGGAGCGTGACTTTCTTACCTGCTCACTGTTCTCATTTGTTACCTGTATAATTCATGCCCTCTTAATATGTTTTGTGGATGAGTGACGTTCCTGTTGCGTTTCATTCACCTGTGTCAGCATCTTAGAAGCTTCCAGCAGACACCTGGAGTGAGGGCTGCCTACATGACTGTCAGAGCTAGTGTGTTGTAGTGCTTGGATGTGCTGAGGTCGTTTTCATTTCATTCTTCTCTGTATTTCTGAGTGTTTTTTCATGGTTTTTGTATTTCTTTACACAACTCTCGTATGTACCGGTGCTCTTGTAATTTTTTTTTTTCACAAGGATCATATTTAGGATGTACATAGCAGTATTTTGATGCAGGATCTTATTGTTTATAAGAAAGACACATGTGCAACAGTTAGGTATCTTTATTCCGAAACATTTTGCCTACACAGTAGGCTTCTTCAGTCGCATACAGAGGAGGCAGCAGAAGCAATAGAGATCTAAAGACGATGTAATCAGTCCATCACCCTCGAAGATGTAGTTTTGAGGTGTTCAGTCCCTCAGCCTGGAAAAGAAATTCTGCTCCATAGTCTGAAACATTGTGAAGCTTAAGCTACAGAATGGAGACTAAATATTGTCAAGGTGAGGCGGAGAAAAATCTTGATGACAGAAGAGGCGAGATCCATCAGTAGAAGTAAGATGTAATCATTAAGAGGTACTGTTGCAAACCTAATAGATTGGTCTCTCTTAAATCCAACTTTTCTCACTCGTAACTAGTGGTCAGCAGTAAAGTTGTCGAAAATACCCTCTGTACCAAGATACCGTTGTGTTACAGTGTCTGGCAGTGTGACTATGATAATGGTGTACAGTACCCACAAGTTAAGTTACTTAAGGTTTGTCAGGAAATGGGACAAGTGTTTCCTGACACGGATCTTAGTCATATGATGAGCCGCAGCTGGAGCTTCTGGTCGTCTGACCGAGGCCTTCCGCTGGTCTACCGGTCCACCCCTTTAAAAATTATTGTTATAATTATAACCATTAGGTATTACCATACCGACAAATTGATGCTTGATTTACAAGGCCGATAATGTGGGTGGAGTTGCAAAATGGCCAGTGAGATACCTAAAACTGCCACTGCTGCAAAGCTCTCACAGATTTTCGTACACTTAGGAAACTTTGACAGTATGATAACCTGCGTGATACGTCACGGGACCTAATTAATGAAAATAAGATATCAAACATTTTAGATAAATACCCTAAATTTTCTTGCAACATACGAAATATATAAATTGTAGATATACGTATCTAGATATACTCCTGTTTACCGTTTGGGGGCCCTAGCTCCTAGGCCTTTTGTGTATCCATGTGTTTTTGCGCTACCTTCCATAGGATGGATTTGGAGTGCGCAGTAAAGTAGCCACTACCGTCCACAAGATTGAAATTGGGTGTTCAGTAAAGTAGTCACTACCGTCCACAGAATTTATATGCTGTGCACAATAACCTAGCTACTGTCGTCCACGGAATTTATATACTGTGCACAATAACCTAGCCACTACTATCCACAGAATTTATATGGTGTGCACAGTAAACCAGCTACTACCATTCATAGACCTGATATAGGGTACACAGTAAACCAGTCACTTTTAGCACAGAATTTAGTCCAAATCTACCTTGCAAAAAAATAACTGTGAGCATTCTCGTCTCCCCCTGATGGTAGTGACCAACACTACCGCTTCGTGGACTATAAGGATGGTTTATTTGCAGGACCCCAGCTGGAGGACTACTCCAAGACTACTTGGACCAGCTGGAGCCTGAGGGAGAGGATGACGACGAACTCATGTTTCAAGGGTGAGTACTCGAACCTCCGGCACCTCTTCTCATGTTCTGCTGGTCAGGTGGTCGTTTATAAAACTTTGCTATACATGTTTCACCAGCTGTTGTACAGGTGCAACAATGTTTGTTGTACCTGTACAAGAGTTGCTTCCAATTTGTGTTGGTTCATCTTTATCTTCTTTCATCTCCCTTCAGCTTAATTAAAGTGATTCATTAAATCACTGAAGTACAGTACCTGTAATCTGAAGGAAGGGTGGGGTTGTTGCACTCTGAAGGAAGAGTGGGGTTGTTGCACTCTGAAGGAAGAGTGGGGTTGTTGCACTCTGAAGGAAGGGTGGGGTTGTTGCACTCTGAAGGAAGGGTGGGGTTGTTGCACTCTGAAGGAAGGGTGGGGTTGTTACACTCTGAAGGAAGGGTGGGGTTGTTGCACTCTGAAGGAAGGTGGGGTTGTTGCACTCTGAAGGAAGGGTGGGGTTGTTGCACTCTGAAGGAAGGGTGGGGTTGTTACACTCTGAAGGAAGGGTGGGGTTGTTGCACTCTGAAGGAAGGGTGGGGTTGTTGCACTCTGAAGGAAGGGTGGGGTTGTTGCACTCTGAAGGAAGGGTGGGGTTGTTGCACTCTGAAGGAAGGGTGGGGATGTTGCACTCTGAAGGAAGGGTGGGGTTGTTGCACTCTGAAGGAAGGGTGGGGATGTTGCACTCTGAAGGAAGGGTGGGGATGTTGCACTCTGAAGGAAGGGTGGGGTTGTTGCACTCTGAAGGAAGGGTGGGGTTGTTGCACTCTGAAGGAAGGGTGGGGTTGTTGCACTCTGAAGGAAGGGTGGGGATGTTTGCACTCTGAAGGAAGGGTGGGGTTGTTGCACTCTGAAGGAAGGGTGGGGATGTTGCACTCTGAAGGGTGAGGATGTTGCACTCTGAAGGAAGGGTGAGGATGTTGCACTCTGAAGGGTGAGGATGTTGCACTCTGAAGGAAGGGTGAGGATGTTGCACTCTGAAGGAAGGGTGAGGATGTTGCACCCTGAAGGAAGGGTGAGGATGTTGCACTCTGAAGGAAGGGTGGGGTTGTTGCACTCTGAAGGAAGGGTGAGGATGTTGCACTCTGAAGGAAGGGTGAGGATGTTGCACTCTGAAGGAAGAGTGGGGTTGTTGCACTCTGAAGGAAGGGTGGGGATGTTGCACTCTGAAGGAAGGGTGGGGTTGTTGCACTCTGAAGGAAGGGTGGGGATGTTGCACTCTGAAGGAAGGGTGGGGTTGTTGCACTCTGAAGGAAGGGTGGGGTTGTTGCACTCTGAAGGAAGGGTGGGGATGTTGCACTCTGAAGGAAGGGTGAGGATGTTGCACTCTGAAGGAAGGGTGGGGTTGTTGCACTCTGAAGGAAGAGTGGGGTTGTTGCACTCTGAAGAAAGAGTGGGGTTGTTGCACTCTGAAGGAAGGGTGGGGTTGTTACACTCTGAAGGAAGAGTGGGGTTGTTGCACTCTGAAGGAAGAGTGGGGTTGTTACACTCTGAAGGAAGAGTGGGGTTGTTGCACTCTGAAGGAAGGGTGGGGTTGTTGCACTCTGAAGGAAGGGTGGGGTTGTTGCACTCTGAAGGAAGGGTGGGGTTGTTGCACTCTGAAGGAAGGGTGGGGTTGTTACACTCTGAAGGAAGAGTGGGGTTGTTGCACTCTGAAGGAAGAGTGGGGTTGTTACACTCTGAAGGAAGAGTGGGTTGTTGCACTCTGAAGGAAGGGTGGGGTTGTTGCACTCTGAAGGAAGAGTGGGGTTGTTGCACTCTGAAGGAAGGGTGGGGTTGTTGCACTCTGAAGGACGGGTGGGGTTGTTGCACTCTGAAGGAAGAGTGGGGTTGTTACACTCTGAAGGAAGAGTGGGGTTGTTGCACTCTGAAGGAAGAGTGGGGTTGTTACACTCTGAAGGAAGAGTGGGGTTGTTGCACTCTGAAGGAAGGGTGGGGTTGTTGCACTCTGAAGGAAGGGTGGGGATGTTGCACTCTGAAGGAAGGGTGGGGTTGTTACACTCTGAAGGAAGGGTGGGGTTGTTGCACTCTGAAGGAAGGGTGGGGTTGTTACACTCTGAAGGAAGGGTGGGGTTGTTGCACTCTGAAGGAAGGGTGGGGTTGTTACACTCTGAAGGAAGGGTGGGGTTGTTGCACTCTGAAGGAAGGGTGGGGTTGTTGCACTCTGAAGGAAGGTGGGTTGTTACACTCTGAAGGAAGGGTGGGGTTGTTGCACTCTGAAGGAAGGGTGGGGTTGTTACACTCTGAAGGAAGGGTGGGGTTTGTTGCACTCTGAAGGAAGGGTGGGGTTGTTGCACTCTGAAGGAAGGGTGGGGTTGTTGCACTCTGAAGGAAGAGTGGGGTTGTTGCACTCTGAAGGAAGGGTGGGGTTGTTGCACTCTGAAGGAAGAGTGGGGTTGTTACACTCTGAAGGAAGGGTGGGGTTGTTGCACTCTGAAGGAAGGGTGGGGTTGTTTGCACTCTGAAGGAAGGGTGGGGTTGTTGCACTCTGAAGGAAGAGTGGGGTTGTTGCACTCTGAAGGAAGAGTGGGGTTGTTGCACTCTGAAGGAAGGGTGGGGTTGTTGCACTCTGAAGGAAGGGTGGGGTTGTTGCACTCTGAAGGAAGGGTGGGGTTGTTGCACTCTGAAGGAAGGGTGGGGTTGTTGCACTCTGAAGAAGGGTGGGGTTGTTGCACTCTGAAGGAAGGGTGGGGTTGTTACACTCTGAAGGGTGAGGATGTTGCACTCTGAAGGAAGGGTGAGGATGTTGCACTCTGAAGGAAGGGTGGGGTTGTTACACTCTGAAGGGTGAGGATGTTGCACTCTGAAGGAAGGGTGAGGATGTTGCACTCTGAAGGAAGGGTGAGGATGTTGCACTCTGAAGGAAGAGTGGGGTTGTTGCACTCTGAAGGAAGAGTGGGGTTGTTGCACTCTGAAGGAAGGGTGGGGTTGTTGCACTCTGAAGGAAGGGTGGGGTTGTTGCACTCTGAAGGAAGGGTGGGGTTGTTGCACTCTGAAGGAAGGGTGAGGATGTTGCACTCTGAAGGAAGAGTGGGGTTGTTGCACTCTGAAGGAAGGGTGGGGTTGTTGCACTCTGAAGGAAGGGTGGGGTTGTTGCACTCTGAAGGAAGGGTGAGGATGTTGCACTCTGAAGGAAGGGTGAGGATGTTGCACTCTGAAGGAAGAGTGGGGTTGTTGCACTCTGAAGGAAGAGTGGGGTTGTTGCACTCTGAAGGAAGGGTGGGGTTGTTGCACTCTGAAGGAAGAGTGGGGTTGTTGCACTCTGAAGGAAGGGTGAGGATGTTGCACTCTGAAGGAAGAGTGGGGTTGTTGTACTCTGAAGGAAGGGTGAGGATGTTGCACTCTGAAGGAAGGGTGAGGATGTTGCACTCTGAAGGAAGAGTGGGGTTGTTTCACTCTGAAGGAAGGGTGAGGATGTTGCACTCTGAAGGAAGGGTGAGGATGTTGCACTCTGAAGGAAGAGTGGGGTTGTTGCACTCTGAAGGAAGGGTGAGGATGTTGCACTCTGAAGGAAGGGTGAGGATGTTGCACTCTGAAGGAAGAGTGGGGTTGTTGCACTCTGAAGGAAGGGTGAGGATGTTGCACTCTGAAAGAAGGGTTAGGATGTTGCACTCTGAAGGAAGGGTGGGGTTGTTGCACTCTGAAGGAAGGTGAGGATGTTGCACTCTGAAAGAAGGTTAGGATGTTGCACTCTGAAGGAAGAGTGGGGTTGTTGCACTCTGAAGGAAGTGAGGATGTTGCACTCTGAAGGAAGAGTGGGGTTGTTGCACTCTGAAGAAAGAGTGGGGTTGTTGCACTCTGAAGGAAGAGTGGGGATGTTGCACTCTGAAGGAAGGGTGGGGATGTTGCACTCTGAAGGAAGAGTGGGGTTGTTGCACTCTGAAGGAAGGGTGAGGATGTTGCACTCTGAAAGAAGGGTTAGGATGTTGCACTCTGAAGGAAGGGTGGGGTTGTTGCACTCTGAAGGAAGTGAGGATGTTGCACTCTGAAGGAAGAGTGGGGTTGTTGCACTCTGAAGAAAGAGTGGGGTTGTTGCACTCTGAAGGAAGAGTGGGGATGTTGCACTCTGAAGGAAGGGTGGGGATGTTGCACTCTGAAGGAAGAGTGGGGTTGTTGCACTCTGAAGAAAGAGTGGGGTTGTTGCACTCTGAAGGAAGAGTGGGGATGTTGCACTCTGAAGGAAGGGTGGGGATGTTGCACTCTGAAGGAAGAGTGGGGATGTTGCACTCTGAAGGAAGAGTGGGGATGTTGCACTCTGAAGGAAGAGTGGGGATGTTGCACTCTGAAGGAAGAGTGGGGATGTTGCACTCTGAAGGAAGAGTGGGGATGTTGCACTCTGAAGGAAGGGTGAGGATGTTGCACTCTGAAGGAAGAGTGGGGTTGTTGCACTCTGAAGGAAGAGTGGGGTTGTTGCACTCTGAAGGAAGGGTGGGGATGTTGCACTCTGAAGGAAGGGTGGGGATGTTGCACTCTGAAGGAAGAGTGGGGATGTTGCACTCTGAAGGAAGAGTGGGGATGTTGCACTCGGAAGGAAGAGTGGGGATGTTGCACTCTGAAGGAAGAGTGGGGATGTTGCACTCTGAAGGAAGAGTGAGGATGTTGCACTCTGAAGGAAGAGTGAGGATGTTGCACTCTGAAGGAAGAGTGGGGATGTTGCACTCTGAAGGAAGAGTGGGGATGTTGCACTCTGAAGGAAGAGTGGGAATGTTGCACTCTGAAGGAAGAGTGGGGATGTTGCACTCTGAAGGAAGGGTGGGGATGTTGCACTCTGAAGGAAGAGTGGGGTTGTTGCACTCTGAAGGAAGGGTGAGGATGTTGCACTCTGAAAGAAGGGTTAGGATGTTGCACTCTGAAGGAAGGGTGGGGTTGTTGCACTCTGAAGGAAGTGAGGATGTTGCACTCTGAAGGAAGAGTGGGTTGTTGCACTCTGAAGGAAGTGAGGATGTTGCACTCTGAAGGAAGAGTGGGTTGTTGCACTCTGAAGAAAGAGTGGGGTTGTTGCACTCTGAAGGAAGAGTGGGGATGTTGCACTCTGAAGGAAGGGTGGGGATGTTGCACTCTGAAGGAAGAGTGGGGTTGTTGCACTCTGAAGAAAGAGTGGGGTTGTTGCACTCTGAAGGAAGAGTGGGGATGTTGCACTCTGAAGGAAGGTGGGATGTTGCACTCTGAAGGAAGAGTGGGGTTGTTGCACTCTGAAGGAAGGGTGAGGATGTTGCACTCTGAAGGAAGAGTGGGGATGTTGCACTCTGAAGGAAGAGTTGGGGATGGTTGCACTCTGAAGGAAGAGTGGGGATGTTGCACTCTGAAGGAAGAGTGGGGATGTTGCACTCTGAAGGAAGGGTGGGGATGTTGCACTCTGAAGGAAGGGTGGGGTTGTTGCACTCTGAAGGAAGGGTGGGGATGTTGCACTCTGAAGGAAGAGTGGGGTTGTTGCACTCTGAAGGAAGAGTGGGGTTGTTGCACTCTGAAGGAAGGGTGGGGATGTTGCACTCTGAAGGAAGGGTGGGGATGTTGCACTCTGAAGGAAGAGTGGGGATGTTGCACTCTGAAGGAAGAGTGGGGATGTTGCACTCGGAAGGAAGAGTGGGGATGTTGCACTCTGAAGGAAGAGTGGGGATGTTGCACTCTGAAGGAAGAGTGGGGATGTTGCACTCTGAAGGAAGAGTGGGGATGTTGCACTCTGAAGGAAGAGTGGGGATGTTGCACTCTGAAGGAAGAGTGGGGATGTTGCACTCTGAAGGAAGAGTGGGGATGTTGCACTCTGAAGGAAGAGTGGGGATGTTGCACTCTGAAGGAAGAGTGGGAATGTTGCACTCTGAAGACTGGGGGATGTGGCAGTTCAGTACATTTCTGACGACACAATGATTGATAAATTAGGCACATGTGCAACACTTGGGTATCTTTATTGGGGAAACGATTCGCCACACAGTGACTTCATCAGTCCATACAAAGGAGAATGGTGAAGATCAGAAGGAGTTGGAGGTAATCAGTCCCTCAGCCTGGAGTCGATGTTATCAGTCCATCAGTCTTGAAGACTGATGGACTGATAACGACTCCAGGCTGAGGGACTGATTACCTCAAACTACTTCTGATCTTCGCCATTCTTCTTCGTATAAGACTAATGAAGCCACTGTGTGGCGAAACGTTTCCTTAATAAAGATACTTAAGTGTTGCACATGTCTAATTTATTAACCTGTCGGTTCTCTGAACCATTTATCTAAATACAGCGATTGCATGAATGATGGTGAATGCGTTTTCTCTTATAGGGGAGGAACCCCCCCCCCCCCCAGACCTAGATGGGAGACAACCGGTTTGTAAAGAAAAAAGTTCTGGGTAACTCCACACCCTCCATCCTGCCGAGTCATACTCCACTTCCTCGAGTGATATCTCCCACTCCATCTCACCCTCACATTCTTCTCTAAACCATCTAGTTCTTTCTCCAACTCTTGATGTTGGTGAAGGGCTCTTGGTCCAAGGAGATGAAGTTTTCCTTCTTGGGAAATGAACCTGATCGCCCAGACTCCAAGGCGTTGTATGAGCTCGTTGGGTTTAGTGCTTCTTCCCCTGGGTCGAATAAGTTGAGGGTCGTGTTACAAATCAGAGTGAGGTGGGGGGGGGTGACATACTGTACGACCCACAGGTCAAAGTAATGCTGACCTGCTGTTTGACCCACACACAGGTCAGAGTGTGATTGTTGCTCACCTGCTATATGACCTACAGGTCAGAGTGTGAGTGTTGCCGACCTGTACGACCCACAGGTCAAGAGTGCTACTGACCTGCTTTATGCCCACAGATCAGAGAGTGAGGAGAGTGATGCTGACCTACTGTACGACCCGGAGAAGGAGTCGTACACCACGCCCTACCTTCTCTACCTGCAGCAGGCCAGAGCCAGGAAAGAGCCCCCAATCCTTCACAGCAAGATCCTGGAGGATGACCTCATCGAAGACGAGGTAAAGTCATTCTCAGGTAGAGGTAGTACTGTCCCTTCGAGGGCGAGGTAAGAGGAAGTACCACGTCATCAAGGACGAGGTAAGAGGAAGGACCACACCATCAAGGACGAGGTAAGAGGAAGGACCACACCATCAAGGACGAGGTAAGAGGAAGGACCACACCAAGGACGAGGTAAGAGGAAGGACCACACCATCAAAGACGAGGTAAGAGGAAGGACCACACCATCAAGGACGAGGTAAGAGGAAGGACCACACCATCAAGAACAAAAACTTCTGTAAGGGATCAGAGTCGTTTTTTATTCTTAATTTTCTCAGCGATAACTTTAGAATGCCTATTCCAATCTACTTCAAACTTTCTACAATTGATTCTCGAAATTATTCGAAGTTTTGGACTGATTTAGAGCTGTTTATGTGTTAATTTGTCGGTGATACTTAACAAATTAAGTTATTGGTTTCCTGGGGCTTGAGTTGTGAGACGTAGGGGATTCATCTCTCAGATTACTTAGTAACTGAAACAAATCTAGTTCTTTTACCCTTAGTATAGTGTTTCTCTTTTTTTGCTTTCCTATGAACTTCAAAAACATTGCATTTCAGACAGAGATGGCGGACAGAGCGACAGAGGGACGTGAAGGGGCGATGGGACGGTCTGGGTACAGATACAGCGTTCCTGACACGCTCACTAACAGCAAGGAACCCCCTACCTCAGCCTCCAACAGCAAGGAACCCCCTACCTCAGCCTCCAACAGCAAGGAGCACCCTACCTCAGCCTCCAATAGCAAGGAACCCCCTACTTCAGCCTCCAACAGCAAGGAACCCCCAACCTCAGCTTCTACAAGCAAGGAACCTCCAACGTCAGCCTCTACAAGCAGGGAACCTCCAACATCAGCCTCCTCGAGCAAGGAACCTCCAACACTGGCCTCACATGATGCTTACCAGCAAGACTCCAAAGTTCACTTTAGAAGAGCATCAAGAGACCTGAGTGATGAATCCAACAAAAACGGCACCGGATATCACAGAGAATCTCTTAAACACGTTGGAATTTCCGGAGAAATGGAAGAGGAACTCCTGCAGGAGAAAGATGAGGATGGTATCGTGAGTGACCACAACCAGAAGAAGAAAAAGAAGAAGCGGCGGAAGAAAGGCTCTCATGGTAGGGTGACTAGTGAAGAGTCAGAAGAAGAGATCCACAAGACAAAGCTGGAGGAACTGAAAAAGTCTATTGCCCTGCAGCTGTTTCGAGACTTTGCCAAGAATGTCTTCGCAAAGGAGCACCCAGAGTTCCGGCTCTTCGAGAGCTTCGAAGAGACTGATAAGTCTAAAGACTCTGATGTGTCCAAGGCAGTGCAGGACTCTTGAGACTTGCGGTGTTAATAGGGTAAGAGTTTTTTTTTATGTTCACAGTAATGGGTTATGGTTATATGCTCTCTATATTATAGTTAATTACTCTTATCTAATAAACTGTATTTCGAAATTACCGTATTTTCCGGCATATAAGGCGCACGACTGAAGTATCATAACAATAAATCAGTAATTATATTCAAGGGTTACTTACCTTCTTACTTTACACTAAAGCGTTTCTCAAAGCCTACCCTTGACCTTGACTATACCCTTGACCCTGACTTTGAGCCTACCCTTGACCCTGACATTAAACATATAAGATACAGGATGATTTTCCAAGATTTTTTGTGGAAAAAAGACGCGCCATATATGCCGGAAAATACGATGCTAAAAATTTATGAATGATAGTAAAGAAAATAATTGTGTAATTACTGGATCTTTCAAGAGGGTCTTTTGATACTATTGAAAGGCTCCTGATCCAAGCAATTGGAGCTGCTTTGTAGGTATGTGTCAACAGCGTCTCCATGACTCATCTCTACAAACCTGACACTGGGGAAAGGAAACCTCCAGACAGTACGTCTGAAACTCCAGGACTGTGTTGTCAATCTTTTATTAGGAACATTACTATTACACTTGGATAAAGAGAAAGAATATTGTGTATTAAATAAGAGCTCCATTACGATGAATGTATTAAAACAGAGAGAACAATGAACAAAGTGAAATACGATACATACACAAAAAAACATTTACAAAAACACAATAAATAATACACAAAAAGACGATTGAAGGCAGACTAAATAAAACAGTGCAAGTAGTGTACTACACATTACTAACAAATCTACAATACTGAAACCACTGGAACAATATTACATAGGTGCAACCATTGTAGCCAGTAAGCCTACATGCCTAGTTCCCATAGCTTCCCCCAGAGGGCAAGCCTGGTGGGCATGCCACTTGAAACGGCATCACCCTGCCTCTCCCTCACTCGGCGCCAATCCTTCACACAGTCAACAAGGACTACTACTCTCTCCTTCGCTGGGCATGGCCCCTCCGAACCATGGGCACAAACACTACCTGTTGTACCCAGATTTCGCAAATAAAGTAAGAAGCTTCTGAAGCCTTATTATTCATCCCCGCTATCAAGAACAACCCAATAAACTCGTAAACACCATGTACATTACAACATTGATTCCGAAAGCTAGAACACTGACAATAACCCGAACAAATACAAGTCATTTAAAGAACCTTATATACAAGTACTGTCGCCACACCTCCACAAACAAAATAATGTTCACGTCATATAATACTGACCAACTTGACACAACATGGGCGAAATAATGAAGTACTGTACATGAAGGAAGCTCTCTAACTTATAATTGTTCTCCTGAACAGAAGCCACAGATACAGCAAATCTACGGAGTATACTTCCCACCCAGGCTTTCTTACATTTTCACACATTCTGTGCACATCAAGCGTCAATAATACACAAATAACCCACACATAGAGGAGCTTACGACGACGTTTCGGTCCGACTTGGACCATTTAAAAAGTCCAAGTTGGACCGAAACATCATCGTAAGCTTCTCTCTTCTATGTGTGGGTTATTTGTGTATCATTCCAGTCACAGTATTGTGCCTTTTATTTGTTATTTATAAGCGTCAATATTTTAAGATTCGAGAATCTTAGATGTTGCCTTCTATTACAACCCAGGAGTCCAAATGGCCTGTTATCCTGGGTGTAAAGGGAGCAAAATAAACACAGCAGAAAAGTTTTGATTTATATTATCCTTCACCAATTTAGAACAGCAATATGTACAAGGGACATGAGGAGGAAGCTGCAAAGGAAGATTGGGCAGCAGAGCTCATAAAAAGAGATCATGAATGGGAAAAGAAACTAGAAGAACTTAGCATGAGAATGGAAGAGAGGATAGATATGGAAAGCAGGAAGTGGGAGGTGCATGTCAAGGCAGCAGAGGCTAGGATACAGAGTTTAGAAGAGGAACTGAAAAATCTGAAACAGCCTAAAGAACTAAAGAACATTTTGGGATTGACAACAGAGACTGCTACCTCAGCCACAAATAAGGGAACTGTAGGGAAAGAAGGGGCACAAGTGCATGGGGAAGCTCTATCAGAGGAGACTGTAGTAAATGAAAGAGCTAAGCTTTATGTGGAGGCCCTAACAGACAACATCAGAGCCCAAGGAAAGCCGAGAAGGGAAAATGACAGGCCACTGAGCCCAAGTACATTAGCCAGTGAAACTGAAGAAAGGAAAGCTGCAGTGCAGGAAACCAAATTAAATGAGGGGATACGCAGTGGGAGAATGAAAGGGTGAGGTCAGTCTTTGTGTATGGGCTCCAGGAAGTTGAAGGGGAAACATATGAAGCAAGAAAACAAGGGAAAAAAAAAGCAATTGAAAGCATCATGAAAGCAATAGGAGAAGACGACATGACCCAGCTAGAAAATTTTCGGAGAATAGGGGGGTTTGTAAAAAAAGAACCCGGCCAGTGAAAGTGACCTTCAAGGCAGAAGCGACTCGGACCAGGATCCTGCAAGAGAAAGCACGATTAAGGGACATGCTGGCATACAGGAAGGTGTATCTCGACCGCGACAGAACACAAGAAGAAAGGCAGAAACTGAGAGAGATGGTACAAAGATGAAAGGAGGAAAGAGAGGGGATGGAGAAGACAGACAGGAGATCCCAGACCCAGGAAGAAGATCAAATACAGCCTCCCTCACAACTTCCTATAGAAGCCTCCCAACCAGGTCAACCCCAGTGCAACCAAACACTCTAAATCAAAACACCCATGCCACATCCAATGCCCCCACCCACTACATTACAAACTCCACCCCACAGCAACAACCCATAGTTCCTTACCAGGTCTCCCACTTCCCCAACCCCAATATACCTCCCAGACCACATTCTTAGAAAAGAAGTTGAAGGTGTTGTATACAAATGCAGATGGAATAACAAACAAGTATGAGGAGTGGCATGAAAGAATCAAAGAGACATCCCCAGACATAATAGCACTCACAGAAACAAAACTCACCAGAATAATAACAGATTCAATCTTTCCATCCGGATACCAAATCCTCAGGAAAGACAGAGGGAGGAGAGGGGGAGGAGGAGTTGCACTACTCATTAAAAACCAGTGGGATTTTGAGAAAATGGAAGGAATGGATGGCATGGGCGAAAGGGACTACTTAGTAGGAACAATCCAGTCTGAGGGACATAAGGTGATAATTGCAGTAATGTACAACCCACCACAGAACTGCAGGAGGCCAAGAGAAGAATATGATGAGAGCAACAGAGCAATGATCGACACACTAGCCGAGGTGGCCAGGAGAGCACACATGGGGGGAGCAAAGTTACTAGTTATGGGTGATTTCAATCACAAGGAGATTGACTGGGAAAACCTGGAGCCCCATGGGGGTCCCGAAACATGGAGAGCCAAGATGATGGATGTGGTACTGGAAAACCTCATGCATCAACATGTTAGAGACACTACCAGAGAGAGAGGAGAGGATGAACCAGCAAGGCTGGACCTTGTATTCACCATGAGTAGTTCGGACATCGAGGGTATCATGTATGAAAGGCCCCTGGGAGCTAGTGATCATGTGGTTCTGTGCTTCGACTACATAGTTGAGCTCCAAGTGGAGAGAGTAGCAGGAATAGGCTGGGAAAAACCAAACTACAAAAGGGGGAACTACTCAGGCATGAGGAACTTCCTTCAAGACATTCAGTGGGAGAGGGAACTGACAGGAAAACCAGTACAAGAAATGATGGACTATGTAGCAACAAAATGCAAGGAGGCAGAGGAGAGGTTTGTTCCCAAGGGAAACAGAAATAATGGGAAGAACAGAACGAGTCCTTGGTTCACCCAAAGGTGTAGAGAGGCAAAAACTAGGTGTACTAGAGAATGGAAAAGGTACAGAAGACAGAGAACTCAGGAAAATAAAGAAATCAGCCGAAGAGCCAGAAACGAATATGCACAGATAAGAAGGGAGGCTCAGAGACAATATGAAAATGACATAGCATCAAAAGTAAAGACTGACCCGAAGCTGTTGTACAGCCACATCAGGAGGAAAACAACAGTCAAGGACCAGGTAATCAGACTGAGGAAGGGTGATGGGGAATTCACAAGAAACGACCAAGAGGTATGTCAGGAGCTCAACACAAGATTTAAAGAGGTATTTACAGTGGAAAGCAGTAGGACTCCAGGAAATCAGAACAGGGGGGCACACCAGCAAGTGCTGGATGAGGTACATATAACCAAGGAGGAGGTGAAGAAGCTGCTATGCAAACTTGACACCTCAAAGGCGGTGGGACCAGACAACATCTCTCCATGGGTCCTTAAAGAGGGAGCAGAGATATTGTGTGAGCCATTAACAAAGATCTTCAACACATCATTTGAAACTGGGCAACTCCCTGAGGTATGGAAAATGGCAAATGTAGTCCCAATTTTTAAAAAGGGAGACAGACATGAGGCACTAAACTACAGACCTGTATCACTAACGTGTATAGTATGCAAGGTCATGGAGAAGATCATCAGGAGGAGAGTGGTGGGGCACCTGGAAAGAAACAAGTGTATAATTGACAACCAGCACGGTTTCAGGGAAGGAAAATCCTGTGTCACAAACCTACTAGAGCTTTATGACAAGGTGACAGAAGTAAGACAAGAGAGAGAGGGATGGATCGACTGCATATTTTTGGACTGCAAGAAGGCCTTCGACACAGTTCCTCATAAGAGGTTACTGCAAAAGCTAGAGGATCAGGCACACATAACAGGAAAGGCACTGCAATGGATCAGAGAATACCTGACAGGGAGGCAACAACGAGTCATGGTACGCGACGAGGTGTCAGAGTGGGTGCCTGTGACAAGCGGGGTTCCACAGGGGTCAGTCCTAGGACCTGTGCTGTTCTTGGTATATGTGAACGACATAACGGAAGGGATAGACTCAGAAGTGTCCTTGTTTGCAGATGATGCGAAGTTAATGAGAAGAATCAAATCGGATGGGGATCAGGCAGGACTACAAAGAGACCTGGACAGGCTACAAGCCTGGTCCAGCAACTGGCTCCTTGAATTTAACCCTGCCAAATGCAAAGTCATGAAGATTGGGGAAGGGCAAAGAAGACCGCAGACACAATATAGTTTAGATGGCCAAAGACTGCAAACCTCACTCAAGGAAAAAGATCTGGGGGTGAGCATAACACCGAGCATATCTCCTGAGGCGCACATCAATCAGATAACTGCTGCAGCATACGGGCGCCTGGCAAACCTACGGATAGCGTTCCGATACCTCAGTAAGGATTCATTTAAGAGTCTGTATACCATTTACGTCAGGCCCATACCGGTTGTATGCAGCACCAGTTTGGAATCCACACCTAGTCAAGCACGTCAAGAAATTAGAGAAAGTGCAAAGGTTTGCAACAAGACTAGTCCCAGAGCTACGGGGATTGTCCTACGAAGAAAGGTTGAGGGAAATCGGCCTGACGACACTGGAGGCCAGGAGGGTCAGGGGAGACATGATAACGACATATAAAATACTGCGCGGAATAGACAAGGTGGACAAAGACGGGATGTTCCAGAGAAGGGACACAGACACAAGAGGTCACAATTGGAAGTTGAAGACTCAGATGAATCAAAGGGATGTTAGGAAGTATTTCTTCAGTCATAGAGTAGTCAGGCCGTGGAATAGCCTAGAAAGTGATGTAGTGGAGGCGGGAACCATACATAGTTTTAAGGCGAGGTATGATAGAGCTCATGGGGCAGGGAGAGAGAGGACCTAGTAGCAATCAGCGAAGAGGCGGGGCCAGGAGCTGTGACTCGACCCCTGCAACCACAAATAGGTAAGTACAAATAGGTGAGTACTATATACAGTGATAGCTATTAGTGCACTCCGCGGTAAGCAAGGCAGAAATAGAAGCCACAAGATAGCAGACCGTGCTTCAACCAGCTCTAGAATGGGAATGACAAGGGCAGACAGGAGAGTGGTACCCACATAACCTCTGCAATTGCCAAGACCATCTTCTTATTGGCTGAAACCTGGTCACTAGTTGAACGACGGGGCCCCATCATGAACTCTCAGTAACCCGGTTCGCTGGTTGGGAGAGATAGCCTGTAAATGAGGGTGTGTACATGCGCCGAATAAACGAATAAAGGTTACGTACTCTTTGCATGCCACACCTTCCTTCCCTTACTCGTTATCATGATAAGGAAAGTGCTACTTGGTTCATGAGCCTCCCGAAAGGTCCATGTACTCACCATGACACTGGTAGTTCCACTGAACACTCGTAACACTCTTTACACCACTATTGTTGACATTTAGGTACATCAGCTCATGACTTCTTGCCTGGTGTTGTGTGCCGGCATGAGCACAGTATCAGGATCAGAACTAGCCTCGCCAACACCAATGTTGTATACTACCTTTTGACTAACCCCGCCCCTCGGGGAGGTAGACTGAAAACATCTTTACCCGGCACAGTCTTGAACAAATCACATAGCACCTCATCCAGAATTACCTCTACCCCCTCCAGAGTAGTAAGGCCCTCTACACTTCCTATCATGAGCTGTTGGTTGGAAAATCTTGTGTTACAAACCTAATGGAGATCTACAAGATAACGGAAGACAGGAGAGACGGGGGATGGGTAGATTGCATTTTCTTGGACTGTAAGGTTTTGGCAGTACTGCACAAGAGACTATTACAAAAGCTAGAGAAGCAGGCAAGAATAGAAGGAAAAGCAGTGCAATGGATCAGGGAATACCTGACAGGAAGGAAACAACAAGTGATGGTCCGTGACCAGGTGTCGGAATGGGCGCATGTGAGAATGGGGTCCCACAAGGGTCAGTCCTAGGGCAAGTGCTGTTTCTTGTATATGTGAATGACATGATGGAAGGGATGGATGTAGACAGCGTGAAACTAATGAGGAGAATACAAGCGGATGAGGACCAGGAAAGGCTACATAGGGATCTGAACAGGCTACAAGCCTGTCTGACAAATGGCAAAGTTATGAAGCTTGGGGAGGGACAGCGTAGATCGTAGACTCAGTACTGGCTTTG